ATAAACCAAATCCAAGAACACATCAAAAGCATCCACCATGATCAAGTGGAATTCATTCCAGAGATGCAGGGATGGTTCCACATATGAAAATATGTCAATTAATACACAATATAAACAAACTGAAAGAAAAAACACATGATTATCTCATTGGATGCTGAAAAAGCCTTTGACAAAATACAATACCCCTTCATGATATATGCTTTGGATAAATTAGGTTTCCAAGAGACATACCTAAATTCAATAAGAGCAATACACAGGAAGCAAATAGCTAACATTGCTTTAAATGATGAGAAACTCAAAGCACATCTAGTAACATCAGGAAAGAGACAGGCTGTCTACTGTCTCCAATATTTACTCAATATACTACTTGAACTTCTAGAAAGATCAATTAGACAATCAAAGGTGATCAAGGTGAATTGGGAAAGAAGAAGCCAAAGTATCACTATTTGCCAACGGCATGATAATATTCATAAGCATCTCCAAAAATTCTAGCAGGAACTCTTCAGCTAATGAACACCTTTAGGGAAATGGCTGTACATAATATTAACTAAAATAATCAGAAGCTCTCTATATGCAATTGATAAAAATCCTGGAAAAGAAATCAGAAAAACCACACCATTCACAATATACACAAATAATACAAAATATCTTGAGGCAACTCTAACTAAGAAAGGGAAAGACCTGTATAAAAAGAACTTTAAGTCTTTGAAGAAAAATTTGAAGAAGATATCAGAAGATGGAAAGATCTCCCAAGTTCATGGATTAAAAGGATTAACATAGTAAAAATGACCATTTTACCAAAAGCAGTCTACAGATTCAATGTAATTCCCATTAAAATTTTGACACAATCCTTTACAGACCTTGAAAGAACAATACTCAACTTTTTATGTAAAAACAAATAAACAGAGTAGCCAAAACAACCCTGTACAATAAAAAAGAACCTCCGGAGGTATCAGCATCCCTGGTCTCAAGATCTGTTATAGAGCTATAGTGCTAAAAACAGTATGGCATTGACATAAAAACAGAACAGTAGATTGTAACAAGAATAATAAAAATTTAAAGACAGATATTGAGGTTTAAGCTAAAGATCAGAGAAGCAAATTAGCTGGTCACTAGTTCTTACCTCTTCCTCAGGCTGAAAGGGCTGTCCTGTTTTCACAAATCCTCAGAGTACAATGCTGACTGCACTGCTCTCCACCAAACCTCAGACTGCCATTTAATGCCTTCCCTGTCTAGAAACTAAATCTTTCACTAGACCCTTGGCTTCTTTGTGCATTTCCTGGGATTGAAGGCATGAATTTGATTCACTTTCTTGTAGCCCAGGATGGTCTTGGACTCATAGAGATCTGCCTGCCATGCTCTGGGATTAAAGGTGTGTGAACTCAAGATCTGATATCACTTGTGAACTGTTTCATTTTTAGACTGGATCAATTTCATATAGCTCAGTATGTACTTAAACTAACAGAGATCATCTGTTTCTGTCTCCCGAGTTCTAGAATTAAATATGTATATCACCACTGCCTGGCTCTATGGGTGTACCTACCTTTGCATTTTGATCTCCAGTGACTTCTTTAAATCATAAACAATATATCACAACAGTGGATCAATGGAATTGACTCAAATACTAATAAATAAATCCACATACCTACGGACACCTGATTTGGGACAAAGAAGTCAAAATTATACCAGAAAAAAATGTTCAATATATGGTGCTGGCATAACTGGATGGCAGCATGTAGAAGAATGCAAATAGATTTCTCACCCTGCACAAAACTCAAGTCTGAGCTGATCAAAGAACTCAACATAAATCCAGTTACACTGAAGCTAATGAAGAGAAAGTGGGGGAAAGCATCAAATGCATTGCCTTGGGATGCAACTTCCTGAATAGCACGCCAGTAACTCAAACACTATGATCAACAATTAATAAATGGAACCTAATGAAACTGACAAAACATTTGTAAGGCAAATGACACTGTCAAAAGGACAAAGCGTCAGTCTACAGAATTGGAAAATATCTTGATTATCCCTATATTTGACAAAAGACAGTTCTCAGAAATATATAAACAGAACAAGAAACCACACATTTAAAAAAGCATAGATAATCAATCATTTTCTCTCATATCGTAATTGTGTTGCACTAAATTAAAAATCATAATTTTCTTTGGTTTTTCGAGACAGGGTTTCTCTGTGGCTTTGGAGGCTGTCCTGGAACTAGCTCTTGTAGACCAGGCTGGTCTTGAACTCACAGAGATCCAGCTGCCTCTACCTCCCAAGTGCTGGAATTAAAGGTGTGCACCACCAACGCCCGGCAAATCATAATATTTTAATATAAAAACCCAAATAATTCAATTTTGAAAATGGAATACAGATATAAACAAAGAATACTCAATAGAAGAATCTCAAATGGCCAAAAAACACTTTTGAAAATATTCAACACCCATAGTCATCAAGAAAATGCAGATCAAAATTACTCTGAGATTTCATATTACACCTGTTAAAATAGCTAAGATCAAAACCATTGATTACAGCTTATGCTGGAGAGGATATGGAGCAAAGGGAACACTCCTCCATTGCTGATGGAAGTACAAACTTGTACAGCCTCTTTGGCAATCATGTGGCATTTTCTCAGAAAATTGGGAATCTACCTATGTCAAGACACAGCTATACCACTGTTGAGCATATAGCAAAGGATACTCAATCATACCACAAGAATACTTGCTCAACTATGTTCATAGTGGCTTCATTCATAATTGCCAGAATCTGAAGACAATCTAGATGTTCCAAAATTAAAGAATGGATAATGAAAATTTGGTACATTTACATATTGGGGTATTACTCAGTTGTTAAAAACAATGACATCATGAAATTTGCAGGGAAATGGAAAGCACTGGAATAAACCATACTGAGTGAGGTAGCCCAGACCCAGAAAGATAAACATACTATGTGTTCATGTGTAAGTGGATACTACCCATAAAGTAAAGGATAACTAAACTATAATCCACAGACACAAAGAGGATAGGTAGCAGGGAGGGACCAGTGGGGAATACATGTATCTCCCCAGGAAGGGGAAATTGAAGAAATCTTCTGGGTGGACTAGGGGAACCTGGGGATGGTAACTTGGGGTTGAGGCTAGATGGACTGGGATTACAATTTGAGAGTCAGATAGAACCTGATGCAAGGGAAACTTCAGAGAATCTATAAGGATGACATAGCTAAGACTTGTAGGAATACTGGGTGCATAGAGTAAACTGGCCATCTCCTGAGAACAGATTGGTGACTACCCCAATAGTCATCAGAGAGGAATCATCCCACAACAGATGGAAACAGATGCACAGATTCATAGCCAAACAATAGGTTGAGCTCAGGGAATCCCACTGAGAAGAGGGAGGAAGGATTGTAGGAGCCAGAGGTGTCAAAGACTTCACATGAAAACCTACAGAAACAACTAATGTAGTTCATAGGATCGTACAGAGTCTAACAGAACTACAGAGCCTTACTGGGAATGACCCAGGCCTTCTACATATATGGGTCAATTGGTGCCAGGATATAGAGAAATCAATCTCAAACAAATCAGGAAACATCTTCAGTCAGGCTAGTTTTCAAAATCTCAGAATGTGATTTGCAGATTTCAGGGTGAGAAAGGTTATGAGTGCTCTTACCCAACACTGTATCCTGCATGACACAATACTGACTAGCTAGGAAATATGTACTCCATGGTACTATTGTTATAGGATGACTAATTATTTATTATTGAATGTGAGGTCTTTATAATATGAGGGATGTCATGTCTAGTATTGCAATCAAAACCAAAAAGCCCATGATTGGGGAGGTCACAGGCCCTAAGTTAGAACCTATTACAATCAAATTGTTAAGTGGTCAAGCAGTCAAATTACACTTTTGGTATTTGTGTTATGCCCTAGGCCAAGACTGTTCTCAACCTTGGTCAGAAAAGTTTCTTTATGCAGTGGGAAGTGGTCAGTAGAGAGGAACAGGACTGCTCAAAATGTTGAAAAGATGAGAATATGTGTTCAGCTCTGTGGAGACCACATCATCAACATCCTCCCTGCAACATCACCCCCACAGATTCAGGGAGTATCAGGGAAGAGGAAGCAGAAAGAAGATAATCGTCAATTAATGAGAAAAAGTTCTGTAAAACACTGCCTTCTGGACATGACATGGGTATACCAAGCACAGACTCATAGCAACTGTGGTTAGTTATATGCAATCTGCTCATGATTAACCAGCTGGAATTCCAGCATAGAAAGCTGGCACCACCATTTAATGCATTATTATTGTTAGGTGACAGTTGTTGTATATGAAAGATTCATTCTTTATTATGGGTGCAGCCACTGCTAGGTATTCTTGCCTCAGTGAATGATCTATAACCATGGACCAATTGACAGGATCAACTAAGAAAAAGAGTTAGAGGTGAACACTTTAGAGTACAGTCATGGGAAGATTGAGAGGTCAAGTAAGGGGGATATTATCATAATTCATTCTCTATATGTATGAGATTTTCAAGAAATGTTTATTAAGAAGAGCAGTGAATATACTCTTTTATGAGACTAGAAATTAATAACCTTAGAGCTGAAAGTAGATCTACATATGTATACATATTAAGATGTTCTTATAGTTATAAATAACAATTTTATATGCTAACTATAGAAACAAGTCAAGTTAAAATTTGAGATACTCATACTCATTGTTTCTGTCAGGATGACCAGTCACTTCTGATCATCTTAATCTTTTGATTTGCTTGTGTCCTGTGCATTTTAGATCACACATTCCTAGCTGTATTCAGTATCACATCATGGGCAGTTAGCTTCGAGACCATTCCTCTTCCTTATCTAACACTTGCTCAGATGTGGCCTTCTTCATCTTGGCCTTACCTGTGAGCTCCATGGACAAAGTGAAAAGGTATGTGAAATTAGACAAAACCTCTGCACACCCTCATCTCAACTGTTCACCCATGTCAGAGTGTACAGGCTCAGGAAACTCACAGTTTAGATGGGCCATTGTCAATCCATTGCCAATTTCTTTTTCTTGTATCATATGATAACCCAATCCAGAAACTGTTTGGATTAATTTTTGGCTGAAGGAACTTCTGTAAGAGGAAAAAAACACAGCTGATGATAAAATTTCTCTGTTTGGTGAGAAAAGAACAATTGTAACAGGTCCCAGGAATTCTCATGTCAGTTCTCCGCTGTCCTGTCCTCCAATCCTTCAGTCCCTCCAAGTTCATTTTAAAGTGATCTCCCTCAAGTAGATCATTTATGTCTAAACAGACGTCAGTTGCATAAGGTATTTAAAATGAAAGCTTCTGGTGTCTACAGATACTGGATTCATGAAATGATTTATATCTGTTTTTCTTAGACCAAATCTCACTATGTAACTAAGGCTAAGCCTGATTCACAATATTCCTGCTTGTGACCCCGAAAAAGAATCACAATGTATACATGGTTTGTTACATAATTTCTGATACTCTATGAAATTATTCAAATGTACATTCTCAAAGGCTACAGAGGCACATAGATAATGTTCATATGATAAATAATGGTCTGTATTCAAAGCAAATTCATTAAGATGAAAAGTCCTGTGTGAAAAGCTGCCCATTAAGCTCCATGCTCCAGAGAGAAAACCATTTTGAAATCAGACCTGATACGACAGAAATTGAAGAGGAAAGAGACACATATTTGGAAAAAATTAGTGTATTATTTGTAACATCCAAGTGGCATGATACCTAATTAGATTACTAAATAAATTTTACATGTGAGTTTAAATTTAATTAAGCTTACTATATCAAATGGCAATTTACATTATGATTTGACATTAAAATTTTTTTGTGCTATAATTTTTATTCGTGTATTAAGTCGGTGTATAAATTTTGTACTATTGTCTAAATGATAAAAGTTTCAAACTGATCCTGTAAGCATTTCTCTGGAAAAATAGTCTTCATATTAGAAGAGTTGTTGTCAGTAATAATTTAAACAGAAAATGTCAACATCTTGCCACCTTTGTTTTCTTTTAATTACTCATTTCTAAAAATAGACATCTTCTTAAAAAATTAAAGTAGTCCAAAATAAAGATTATAGAAAGTTTCATTAAAAATCACGGTGCAGCTAACTGGCAAAACTATTAAATTTCATGGTTCTCATACAATTTCTATTCTGCATATTGGTCCAGAGGTCAGTTACTTTCTCTATTGTCATCCAATTACTCATCGTAGGTAGCCTCACTTTTGGCTTCCAAAGAGCAAGCCCAAGACTGCAGCCACTCTGGGTGTAGTTGGCACTCTATGGAGATAAATAACTGTCAGTCACAGGATCATGGGAAGCATGCTACTGTGTAAGACCCTCTTACAGATTCCTGAGAAACAGGGGGTTTTGCAAAGATATGACTGTTATTTTAGAAACATGTCACCTCATAACAGACCCCCTGTTCTGACACTAGACCAGGAAGAGGAAGGAGTAGGTATAATCTTACTGCGCAGCCATTGCTCACATACAGTTAAACCATATACAACACTTAAAGGTCACTCTTTCAACAAACAAGCCTGGGCTCAGTATCTCCCTACCCAAGGATTGGAGAAGGAGTCAGAGAATAAAAAAAAAACATGTCAGAGTGTACAGTACCAGTTCATCATCATCATCTATCTTTAAAAGGGATAAGCTGCAGTCCTGGCAGGTCTGACTACATCCATTCCAGCGTTTATTGTCCATGAAGAAATAATAACATTTTATGCCAAAACAGAACCACTGCACTTCAACACGTTTGCCTATAACAGAGAATGGAATGATGAAAATTCTCATGTTCTGGTATTCTGTTATTAGAGCATTGCTGTAATTGCACATCTATAACTAAATAAAATTTCAGAGCTCTAAGAAATTAAAATTCTAGAATTTTGAGAGACCCCTGTATGCCCATGTTCTATGTAGCATTATTCATAACAGTAGATGTGTAGAAACAGCTGATGTGTCCATTGTGGATAAATCAGGAGAAAAATTAAGCACATGCACACTAAGGAATACTATTTATCCTTTAAATTGGCTGGTCATGATGGCTCATACCTATGACCTGGGCACTACACAGCATGAAACAGGAGGATCACCAACAGTTTGATGCCAGCCTAGGCAGAGTAATGACATCCATGCCAGTCTTGGCTATAAAGTAGATGCTAAGACATCTTGGTCTACAAAAATAAAACCACATCTCATACCTCAACACCCCAAAGGAGAGATGCTCAACTAAGTGACAAACATGAATGAACTCAAGGATGGTGTGCAAAGTAAAACAAGCCAGGCCCAAGATTGTATTTTGTGACTCAACTCAGATGAGTGTTCTAATGCAGCCCAGTTCTAGGAATCAGAGGTAGTGACATACCAGATCTAGTGTACAGTGAGCAAACACTTGCACAGAGGCAGGTACAAGGATGATGGAATTCTATTCCCTCAGCAATGTTCTATGCCCCCAGTTCGTCCACACTTACTGTGCACTTAAGTTTGTGCTATAGTCTGTGTAAGATGCTCTTACATGGGTGTCAGTTAGGAGGCCTGGGAAATCTATGGGGCCTCTAGTTGTGGATCATATGAATGTACTTTGGGATCCCACTCCATATACAGGGATACTTTCTCAACCTAGACACATAGGGGAGGGCCAAGGCCCTGCTCAGAATGACATGACAGACTTTGAAGATCCCCCATGGAATGCCTCACCCTCTTTGAGGAGCAGAAAATGGATGGGATAAGGGATTGGTGGGGGGCAGGGGAGGAGGTGAGGGAGAGGGAACTGGGATTGACATGTGAGACAAGCTTGTTTCTAATTTAAATAAAAAAGGGAGAATGTATAAGGAATGAAAGCAGTTAGGATGTGATCAAGAGAGGATGAAGATAAAATATGAATAAACTACATGTCTAAGTAAGATGGAGGTAAATGTGCGTATCAAGTTAAATAAAATCCATGGGAGAAATAAAAGACGCATGAAGGAGCTTTTGAAGGTGTTAGTCTATTCTGGTTATGTTGATGCCTTTAAGGGATTGCCCACATACTCAAACAAGTCAAGTTGAATATATTAAAATATGGGCAGTTGGTATAGCAACAACATGTCAATATGAGGACCTGGGGAAAGCAATTCTCTATAAACAAAATTTATCTCCAGCCTTTGTTTTCCTGTGAAGTAGTATCATTATGTAGCTCAAGCTGGTCTGGAAGTTGCTGAGCTGTCCAAATTGTGCTCAAAGTTATAATCCTCCTGTCTCAGTCTCCTAAGAACAGGGACTACAATGGTTGCAATATGATACCATTTACAAATGATAAAGTTATTTTAAAATAATGCCCCAAACCTTTTTCTTTTCCTAAAACAGATTTTATAATGTAACAACTTTAAAGATATTATTAGCCCTTGCATAAGAATATTAACCCCTATCATGATGCAGTGAGATCATATGTAAAAGCTTTTTGAAAACTCTCAATTCTGAAAAAATATTTTATAATAAATGATAAACTGTGTCAATTAAAGCTAAACAGTCATGATGTAAGGTAAGAAAGGTTCCTTGTAATGCTTGATTCTTTCATCTTTCTGTGCTCATTCATTGTGTCACTGACAGAATAAGATAAATATGAACATGATTTTGAGGCTCCAAAATGTGCTGCTGGGAGCTTCACCATGATCACAAATGGGCCAACTCTCTCAGCCATGGCAGAAGGAACACACACACACACACACACACACACACACACACACACACAATTACTTTTATGACTTCATTCATATGAAATCTATAAGTCCATGTTAGCCTAAGAGTTTGGTAAATACACTCTTACTGGAAACTTCCAGGTTCTGTTAGCAACTAAGTTGGAGACTCTGGTTTGCACACAACCCAAAGGTTCCTGTTTTGTTAGCTTGTTGGCTTGCAGTTTCATCCTCTTTCAGCAGTTGAAGACAGAATGGCCACTATAATCTAGAAGTTATAAAATTCTCATTCAAAAAGGGATTTCTGGGGTTCCAGACCCTTTCGTGAGATAAGGAAAGCCCTAGCCATTGGCCCACAGATCACCAACATTGCAAGTTAATAATTGGACTTCAAATCTTCTGGAGAAGAAACAATACAAAATAATGCAATTCATTATTCAAGATCCCTTCCGTACCTGTGCGCTGTTTGCAATCTAAAACCTTGGTTTCCCCATAGCATCTGTTCTGTCTTCTGTTGAGGGAGTCCAGCTGTTTTCTGAGGGCCTCAAACTCTATAGACTTATTTCTCAGCATTTCTTCCCTTAAGTGGCTGTCATTTTTCATGGTGCTGTATTCTTGATGGAGATTATTTAGAGTATTCTGCAATTCATGTTTTTCTTGACTATACTGAAAAACTAAAATTAGTAGCAGATATAATGGCAAAAAATACTAATAAGGAGTAAATATTGTAATTAAAGATAACAGAGAAAGCCCATGTTGACAACGAACATATATCATTACTTTAACTGGTACTTTGGCATTTAGAAAGTAACACTTCAATTAACACACTATAGAAATTAAAACATGAATTTCTCTCTATAGGGGTAACTTTAGTATAAAGTAAACAATACAACTGAATAAAATTATAGTGGATGTTCCACACATCCAATTATTTATTTTTTCACAGTGCAAATATTTCAAATAAATATATAAGTAAAATATTCAGTGAATACTTAATAGAGCATGAAATTGTAAACTAAGAAACATAAAGAAATGGTACAATTATCATTGTATCCAAGGGAAAGCAAAATATCCAAATATATAACATTATCTTAGTACATTATTGGAGTGATTTCCTTTAAATTGTGAAGGAATAGAATAAAGCTTAAGTTTTAACATCTCTGTACAAAGAAGTTTCTTCACTTAACTGTGTCCTCAATAAACACAGAGGAAAATAAAAAGAACTTCATCATTTTGTTTACACAGCTGTTTCTCACAGACTGTTTACATATGTTTCATAATTACTTGGTCATGTAGGATAATTTTTTGATGTAACACAGACCCAGATAGTCAAACACAGTATGTACTCACTCATACATGGATATTAGATGTAAAGTAAAGGTTAATCAGACTACAATCCACAACCATGAAGAACCTAGGTAAACAGGGGTTCCCTAACAGGGACACACAGGGAAGGCCCCAGGAAATGAAAATAGTTAAGATGTCCTGGGTAAACTAGAAGGGTAGGGTTGGTAATGGGAACATGAGAGATCCAAGGACCCAGTAGGAGGAGGGACAGAGAGGAAAAGCAATGAAAAAGAAATCTAAATAGAGGGAACCATTGTGGAGTTAGGGAGAAGCATGGTGCTAAAGAAACTCTCAGGAATCCACAATGGTGGCCCAGCTAAGATTCCTAGCAATAGTGGAGAGGGATTTGAACAGGCCCTCCCCTTTAATGAGATTAGTGACTACCTTAATTGTCATCCTAAAACCTACATCCAGTAAATGATGGAAGCAGATGCAATGATTCACAACCAAGCGCTGAACTGAGCTCCTCAACTTCACTTGAAGAGACGGAGGAGGGAATATATCAACAATGGGGGATCAAGGCCATAATGGGAAAGCCACAGTGACAGTTGACCCCAACTAGTGGAAGCTCATGGACTATGGACTGTCATCTGAGGAACCCGCATGGGATCTAACTAGACACTCTGAATGTGAGTGACAGTTATGAGGATTGATCTGTTGGGGGAGCCTGGCATTGGCACCAGGACCTATCCCAGATGAATGAACTGGCTTTTTGGAGCCCATTCCTCATGGTGGGATGCCATGCTTAACCTTGATACGTGGGGGAGTGGTTTTATCCTGCCTCAACTTGTTATGCCAGACTTTGTTGACTCCCCTGCAAAAGGCTTTATCTCCTCTGAGGAGTGGATGGGGTGTGAGATGGGGAAAGGTGGGGAGCAGGAAGGGGAGGAATGGGGGACTGGGGTTAGTATAGAAAATGAAAAATTAAATTTTAGATGAATAAAAAAGCTCAGAAAGAAGACTATAAACAAGTTCTCAAAAGGAACTGTACCAAGAATGAGACAGATCAAGGCAGTTCCCAACTGTCCCAGAATTAATAGAATAGGTATGTCTGAGAACAGGACACTGTCCTATGTCAGGCAAAAAACAAAAGATATCCTGAGCTATTTAGGACATCCTTTGATTATAGACAGAATAAACAGAGTTGTTAACTGCATACTTTTTGTCTAAAGTTATTACTTAGGCAGAAAGGCAAAGAAGATGTATACCAGTTACTCACTGTGTTTCCCCAACAGTGCAACAGTCACCAGAAGAACGGAACAAAGGATTCCCAGAGGTATGGCAATGAGGTAACAGGGGACTGAACACTCTTAAATCAAAACAAACAAACAAAGAACAACCAATAAACTAATCATTATGAAAAAAACAGATCCCAACACTAATTACTATTTTGTATAGCATGGAAACAATGACATATTGGTCAGCATAAAAATTTTACTAAAGTTCATCTTACAGGCTTACTGAAAATGTGTTTTCAAATTTGTAGATTTCTGCCTAAACGGCAACCACTGTAGAAATCCTACATGTGTGAATTTTCACAGGATTTCAAACTTATTTTACCTTTGACCCTATAGTCTCAATCCTCCTGAATCGTCTAGAAGTAGCTGGATGACAGGCACATGCTCCTCACCCAGTTCTATAGGATCATAATTGCATCTTTCAGAAAGTACTAGAGGCACAGACAAAACCCAAGTAGAAGACCCAAAACTGGGCAGTTCAGGCAGCCAAAGGAGCATAACTGAAGTAGAGGTGTAAAGAAAGAGGGATAGATGATTTTTGAGAACTGATAGGGAACTGTGGCTGTTCTGGAGCTGACCTGTATACAGGCACATCCTTAAAGGGGCCTAAAATCAACTCTATTTTTTTATCACAAACTCCATTTTTTTCTAGACAATAATAAACACTTTGCTGTATCTTAGGTTTGGGGAATCTGAAAGCCAAGTCTATAATTATCACTGTCTAGGAAGTTAAGGTTCTCAACTTGGACTTCAACTGTTAAAGTTCAGGAACAGTAAGCAGAAACAGAGAAGAGAAATAAAAGTTTCCTCTTTTTATTAATAAACTTAATTATCTTTGACATTTCTGCAAATGCATAGTGTGGTTAGTCATCCCCATCCACAATACCCTCTCTCATCCAGTCTCTTCCTCTTCAGCGTACTTCCAAGGAAGAAGCTTCCTCTTTGGATGGACTACTTTTGCTGTTTCCTTACATTAGTTATTGGAAATATTTCAGACAATGAAAACACCTTCTGCTAGAGTGAAAGTATTGTCCCTAATGCATTCCATTTCCCTGGAACATTTGATTTTCTTCAGAGTCTAGTTTATAACTTTTTTAAGGTTTTAGAATGTTTCTTGACAAGGCTAAAAAATAAAAATCTCCTAATCGTTTCTCAAAGTTGATGGAATGCATTCACTTGCCACTTGGCAGGAATTTCTTATAGACTTCTATTGATCTGCTATAGTTGTCTAGCTTTCTCTGATACCAGATAATTATTAGTTTCCTTTAGTTATTGTTTTCTTTTCCTTTTTTTTACTTTTAAAAACTAATTAATTCATTTTTGAACAACTTTGTAAGTGGTTACTCTCCCACTATTACTCACTTATCACTCTCCTACCCCTGTGTATCACTAAGCCCAGCTAAAATGGAGGGTTATAATTTTCCATGGAAGTCAGTAGGATGTTATTTTAAAATATCAAAAGTCATAATGCATAAAAACAGGTGCATTTAGATATTTAAAAACTTACTTCTGTGGCCAGCTTCACTGGGCCCTTGAGTCTCATTAGGCCTTCCTCCATTCTGCAACCCTGAAGACGACTTATGGAATCTCACAGTTGCATAGGTTATCTCCTCATCACTCATCTTGGGCGTAAGTGAAGTAGGGTCTGTGTTAAAATCTGTCCTTGGATGTTTTCTAAAGAAGAAGTTAAAATGTCCACATTTAGGAGGGTACCTGGATCTAATGCTGCAGTGGAATGGGATGGGTCTGAATAAGTCCCCAACAATCAAAACACCCTAAATTACATGAACTGGCCGATTTCCACTAGAGGTAAGATGTCTTTGAAGATTTCTGTAATTTATACCTCTACCCTTCACAGAAATTGCTATTAGGAAATATAGAAAGAATTAAAATTTACTAATCAGTTATCATAATGCTGGCGTGGCCTATTTCTTTAAAATTTTCAGCATATATAAATGTTAGGCAAAATTTCTACCATTGTAAAATCAATGAAACACTATAAATTCAAATAATAGTCAAAGCTTTATGAATGAATAAAAATCTTTCCCTTAAAACTATTTATATATTTTGATAAACACATGAAAATAAAAATGTTCTTAGAGTCTTTTCAATTGTATATGACTCTCAGAGTTCTCCAGACACCACCTTTGAAACAATATATGAAGGTTAATCCTGCAGTTGATTAACATTTTCGGCTCTAAGAAACATAAATATTTCTTTTATTAAAGCCCAAACAACTGAGATAATGCAACCTCTCTACCCAATCACTGACTACATATTTTTCCCTGGGTCAGGCCTGATAAATACATAGAACTAGAGAAGACATTACTGCATGGGGTGACCCAAACTGAGAAAGAACAAGCTGCATGTTCTCTAGCATCTGAGGATTCTTCAGACATGCTACATAACCTGGGGTAACAGTAGCAACCAGGAAAGTAGAAAGAGATATTTCAGGAGTGACTTGTGGGAGTAATAGAGAGGGAAATAGTAGTATGCAACCTGAAGTTTTAATCTTAAATCATTCCATATACATGATTACTTAACATATATTTTTGTAGTATATGATACTGTCAGAGGAACCTATACCAAAATAAATTTAGTCATTATAAAGCAGTCATTAGCTAATGTCCATGAAGGATTAAATCTGATAATAGATGTAAATATATTATTAAATAGTAAATATTGGTAACTTGCCTTGCCCCCTACATTCATAGCTGAGATGATAGCCAACAGATAATATGGAAACAAATAATACATGGATTGATTCTCCTCTAGTTTTCTAATTTATGAAGTATTCTGAAATTATTCAAATTTTCCTTTATTAAGAAGAAAACTTTGCATTACAAAATTCTTATTTAAAACTGTTGTTATTATTGTGGGGCTTTTTGGCGGGGTGGAGGTAAATGAGCCATGGTACACATGTCCAGAGAATAACTTTATTGAGTGAGTCCTCTCTTTCCCCATTTGGGGGTCCCAAGGATCAAACTCAGGTCGTTAGTCAGACTTGTGTAGTGCATACTTTACACACTGAGCCCTCTTATCTGTCTCTTACCAAGACTTCTTCAAGATTAGTGTACAGATATTTAACCTGATCAAGAGTAATGAAGTCCACCCTACACCTTATTTACTTTGCACACAGCATTAGCCACAGAACACTCAGAAAAAAATAACCAGTGGTAAGCTCCTGTTTTCACATGCTACCAGAGTAACCCAGCCCTAACAAAAGCAACACAGCTACCCCATCAAACCCACTCTCATGTTACACCATCTGAAATTCTCTAGAGTATATTTAATCATTTTATACAAAAACAATAAAAGCAGCTGTTACCAGTTTCTTGAACCAGGAGTGGTTTTGGCAGATGGAATTGTGTCCCTAGATGGGGGACAAGTTGAGGCTTTCCTGGACTGATCCTCTCAGAAGTCCAAGAGAAAGACAGAACTGAAACGCCTCTTGACTGATACTCTAGCTCATGATTTTCAGCCCTCCTCTTAATGGAAACTGGAAAGAGGAAACTGCATGATAAAAGCTGATGCTGACAGAAAGGGAAGAATTAACTTAGCATGACAGAGGCTGCAAGTCATTTACATGACCAATACTTGAAGACTGAGAAGACAAACATGCCTGTGAGAAGGCTAAACCAGTGTTCTTAGCAAAAGTAAAATGAGGTGACTGACATTCGTAATTTTGTAATACACTGTTGGAAATTTTCCCTTATGTTATTAGAAAAAAGTTACTTCCTATTTTTGAATTATACTTATTACAGCTAAATGTATTTCAGGATGTCCTTAAAGCATGCATATTTCCACTGTGAAATTTGCTGTAAACATTTATAACTTTCTATGCATGCATGCTAGTTACTGTGAACATTGCTGTCATTCCATGTCCTATCATGGTATTTTCATGGTGTGAGATTATCAAGTATAAGACACTGAGCATGCTCAGCAAATATTTTACCACTGAGTTACATACTTAGGCTCTGGTTCTCTTTTGTTCTGTTTTTTACTTTGTTTATGTGTGTATTTTCTTTTTGCTTGTTTGTTTGTTTTGAGGCAGTTGTTATGTCATTATGTACCAGGCTGGTCTCAATCCTGTTGACACAATTTCTTCACTGCTGGGATTATAGCTGCATCCTACCACATCAATTTACACCATGTTTCTTGATGCTTTCTAATAAGTAAAAAGCTGTGGTGATATGTAGTTTATTATTCTAAAAAGTCACTGGAGATATAAATGCAAAGCTAGTCAAAACCATAGAGCCCGGCAGGGGTGATACACACCTTTAATTCCAGGATTCAGAAATCAGGTGGTGGTGACTCACTCCTTTAATTCCAGGATTCAGTAGAGAAAGGCAGATGGATCTCTGTGAGTTCAAGACCACCCATGGTTACATTAGAGTGAATCAGTCTAAAAGACCAACAGCTCACACAAAGGATGCCTCAGCATATGTGATCCCACACCTTTAATCCCAGCTCCAGAGTGGTATATAAGAGTGGGGCATTCAGTATTGAATCTCAGTGATTCATTGTCTAGCCGTGCTGAGGACAAGACAGCCCTTTCAACCTGAGGTAGAAGTAAGAGCTTGTGGTCAGTTGCTTTCCTTCTCTGATCTTCAATTTGAACCACAATATCTGTCTCAGGGCTTTTATTATTTGTATTACCAAAAGAATTTCTATGTTTTATAAATATTGATCTATAAGGTACTTTAAGTCAAATATAATTATCCATCACTTTTATACAGTATATATCAATTAAATCATCCTCTACTGGTAAACATTTAAATTGTTTTACTGCATTTTAGTGTTTTTAGCTTAAAAACTTCACGGAATATACATTGTAGCATTCATTGACAGAGTTTTATGCATGAAGTCATGGAATTAAAGTAGATACACATTTAAGAAGCTCTAATAGAACCTCAGCCGAGCCCAGGTTCAGGTGAGCTTGGATCTCTGGGGGTACGCTCCACATCCCGTGCCCAACACCCATCCTCTTGATCTTCTGGGGCCGCTCCTGGCATCCAGAAGACCTGCTCATACAGGAAAGACATCAGGCCCTCCAGGCCCCAACCTCCTGCGATCCCAGATTCAGGTGAACTTGGGTCTCTTGGGGGACACTCGCCATCCCCCACCCAACACCCATCCCCTCGATCTTTGGGGCCCTGCAACTGGCATCCAGAAGACCTGCCCACACAGGAAAGACTTCAGCCCTTCCAGGCCCCAAACTCCGGCAAGCCCAGCTTCAGGAAAGACTTCAGCTCTCCCAGGCCCCAACCTCCAATAACCCAGCTCCAGGAAAGACATTAGCCCTTCCAGGCCCCAACCTTTGGCGATCCCAGCTTCAGGAAAGGCATCAGCCCTTCCAGGCCCCAACCTCCAGCAACCCAGCTTCAGCTTCAGGAAGGAAGGAGACCAGTGGAGATGGAAAGACTCCACCTGCACCCACTGGAAGAAGAGATGGTAAGAAGACAGAATAAGAGCACACTCAGCAATAGAAAGACAAACATGACTCCACCAGAATCTGGAGAACCAACGCCAGCAAAACCTGAAAAGCACTACATAGACGAAGCAGAGGAAATTGGCCTTAAAAATTATTTTATGATGATGATAAAGACCCTCAAAGAGAAAACGAGGAAATCCATTAAAGAAATAGAAGACAAAACAAACAAAAAAATCCATGAAATGGGGAAAAAAATCAAGAAATAAATCTCTCAAAGAATCTAAAGTGTACCAAGAAAAAACAACCAAACAAATGAAGGAAAAACTCAAACAGTTGAAAGATTGAAAGCTGAAATAGAAACAATAAAGAAAACACAGAACAAGGGGATGCTGGAAATAGAAAAGCTGGGTAAACAATCAGGAACTACAGATGCAAGTATCACCAATAGAATACAAGAGATAGAAGAGAGAATCTCAAGTGTTGAAGACTCATTAGAAGATATACAGTCATCAACCAAAGAAAACCTCAAAACCGAAAAATCACTAAAACAAAATATCCAGGAAATATGGGACACTGTGAAGAAGCCTGATAATAATAGGTATAGAAGAAGGCAAAGAAATAGAAGAAATAAAGCTCAAAGGTACAGAAAAACAAAGGTATATTCAACAAAATCATAGAAGAAAACTTCTGTAATCTAAAGAAGGATATGCCTATGAAAATACTAGAATCTTACAGAACACCAAATAGGCTGGACCAGAAAAACAATTCACTGCACCATATAATAATCAAAACATCAAACATACAGAATAAAGAGAAAATATTAAGAGCAGCTAAAAAAAAAGGCCAAGTAACATACAAAGGCAGACCTATCCGAATTACACATGACTTCTCAATGGAAACTAAGAAAGCCAGAAGATCCTGGACAGATGTCCGACAAACGCTAAGGGAACAAGAATGCCAGCCCAGACTACTATATCCAGCAAAGCTTTCAATTACAATATATGGAGAAAACAAAATATTCCATGACAAAGCCAGATTTAAACAATACGTATCCATGAATCCAGCTCTACAGAAAGTGCTAGAAGGAAAACCTACACCCAATGAAGATAACTACACTCACAAAGACACAGGCAATAGATAATCCCACTTTACATAACACCAAAAGAAAAAGGGAGGAGAACCTACACAAAATAACTCCACTACCAATAAATCAAGCACAAATAAGAATCATCAATCAATGGTCATTAATATCCCTCAATGTCAATGGTCTCATCTTGCCTATCAAAAGACACAGACTAGCAGAATGGATACAAAGACAGAATTCATCCTTCTGCTGCATACAAGAAACACATCTCAACACCAAAGACAGACGTTACCTCAGAGTAAAGGGTTGGGAAAAGATTTTCCAATCAAACATACCCAAGAAAGAAGGGGGTGTAGCAATCCTAATATCTAACAAACTAGACTTCAAATTAAAATCAATCAAAAGAGATGAAGAAGGACATTTCATATTCATCAAAGGTAAAGTCCATCAAGATGAAGTCTCAATTTTGAACATCTATGCCCCAAATACAAAGGCACCTACATTCATGAAAGAAACATTACCAAAGCTCAAATCGCACATAAAATCTCACACACTAATAGTAGGAGACTTCAACACTACACGCTCACTGCTAGACAGGACATCCAGACAGAAACTCAACAAAGAAACAAAAGAACTAATAGAAGTTATGACTCAACTGGGTTTAACAGACATCTATAAAACATTCCACCCAAACATAAAGGGATATACCTTTCTCTCAGTGACACATGGAACCTTCTCTAAAATTGACCACACAATAGGAAACATAGCAAATCTCCACAGATACAAAAAAAATGCAATAACCTCCCTGTATATTATCAGACCACCATGAATTATAATTGGAATTCAACAATAAAACAAATCGCAGAAACCCTACAAACTCATGGAAATTGAACAAGGCACAATTGCACCATCCCTGGGTAAAGGAAGAAATAAAAAAAGAAATTAAAGACTTCCTGGAATTCAATGAGAACGAAGACACAACATACCCAAACTTATGGGACACTCTGAAAACAGTGCTGAGAGGAAAATTCATAGCACTTAGTGCCCACATGAAGAAACTGGAGAACAGTCAAACTACAGAATTAATAGCACAGCTGAATGTTCTAGAAAAAAAGAAGCAAACTCATCCAGGAGGAGCAGATGCCAGGAAATAATCAAATTGAGGGTTGAAATCAATCAAGGAGAAACCAGTAAAACATTGCGAAAAATCAATGAAGAAAAGAGTTGGACCTTTGAGAAAATCAATAAAATAGACAAACCTCTGTCCAAACTAACCAAAAGAGAGAGAGCACGCTAATTAACAAAATCAGAAATGAAAAGGGGGACATAACAACGGACACTGAGGTAATCCAGAGAAATATCAGGGCAGACTTTGAAAATCTTTACTCCACCAAATTTGAAAATTTAAAGGAAATGGACCATTTCATGGATAGATATCACTTGCCAAAACTAAATCAAGAACAGATAAACAATATAAACAGATGAATAACCCTTAATGAAATAGAATCAGTCATCAAAAGTCTCCCAACCAAAAAAAAAAAAAGCCCAGGCCCAGATGGCTTCAGTGCAGAATTCTACCAGAAATTTACCAGAAATTCAAAGAAGAGCTAATTACAATACTCCTCAAATTATTCCACACAATAGAAGCAGGAGGCTCACTGCTAAACTCTTTTTATGAGGCTACAATCACCTTTATACCCAAGCCACACAAAGACACAACTAAGAAAGAGAACTATAGACCAATTTCCCTCATGAACATCGATGCAAAAATACTCAATAAAATACTCGCAAACCGGATTCAAGAACACATCAGAAAAATCATCCACCATGATCAAGTAGGCTTCATCCCAGAAATGCAGGGATGGTTCAACATTAGAAAATCTATCAATGTAATCCACCATATTAACAATCTGCAAAAGAAAAACCACA